TCTTACACCTTACACTTCCTTCCGCTAGAAGTTTAAATCGCATAGGTTGTAGGTAAGGTGATAATTCGATGCGATGTCGTGGTCCATTAAAAAAGATTCTAACCAGAAGTATTGAATTACTTAAATTAGTCGATGGAGTAAGATGGACTACGCGGGCCGGAGAGACGCCCGGGCTTAAGACGTAACTCACGCTGTTATTGCACCGATCGTTGCAGTTCTATTTTTAGCGAGCCTGTTTCTTTCATACAGTTTCGAGTTTTAGTTTTGACTGAGGTGTTACCACATTTCCTTAGTTATCCTGAATGAAAATAAAGAGGTTTTCCTAAAATATACTCAGGATTATGCGGTTCATAAATTAACTATACGGATGATAATTTGTTCTTCAATAAAGAGAAGTTAAACTTTTGTGCTGTCTGTCCCGAACCGTTCGTATTTCTCATTCGTATGTGCTCCTGGACAAAATTGAAGTTTCGAGATGCGTAAAGTATACAATGTTTCGTTTTTTTCTGTTTGATTTGTTTTACAGAAGACAAATTGGGGACCTAAAGCTAATATTTGAAGTGATGCCGTAGAGGTATTTGGTGTAATTTACTTTCGTTATTCAGTGCTTTCCGAGTTCTAAGTAGAAGGAAACACGAAATAAACTGAAAACTGTTTTCACTAGTCTTGTTTAAAAAAAAAAGATATAAAGAGAGAAATATTCAAATATTATGAGAACGTATTTGGTAGTGGTAACTAACTACATAACAGGGAGCTACGAAATTGTAATTCACATCTGTTGTTGGCTGACTCAATGGATTAGTGAGAAGCAACCAATAAACGTGATTAAGAATTCCTCGCCACTGGACCCTACGCTGAAATAGTTTAATAATTCATAATCCCATAGAGTATTACCGATTTCACACACTCCTGATGTTTAAAATTCCAAGTTAATAAAATTTTACCATGACTTAGGACGTTCCAAATACATGAGTCAATTCCGAAGTTGTATGTGACATTTAGAAACATGTTAGGGGTCTTGCAGTGAGACTTTGTAAGCTTCCTCGACCAACTCCCACGATGGTGACAACTTCTTGTTCGCTATTCACAGTTGCTTGTTCAACATACATGCCTTAACCGAAATAATTGTTATTCTTCAAGCCTTTTTAATAACGCAAGAGCTAAATATAACAGGAATTAATGTGGCATTCCATTCCATTCCTTCCGGCTGTGAATTTGTTATCTAAGACTACACTGAGGTGGCTTTATATTACATTTTCAAATTCATAAAACCACATTTCATATTAAGCTTATCGAACTGCTGTTTTTTCTGAAAATGTCTATTAATTTTAGTAATTTTCAAATAAAATTTGAAATATATATTCAGTTATCAAAGTGTGGAGGATTTGTAACGATGTATTACACACTTTCAAAGAACATATTTTTAAATATCAGTAGACTATTTGATTATAAGAGATGAACGTGGTACTGACTGCGTTACTATTTACAGCTCAGTTCAGTAAGCGATTATCTAAACCATATTATATAATACCAACAATTCGTCCATTTCTTAGTTTTCAAGATCACTGAAATAAGTCTTTGGATTGATAAGGTGTCACGTGGGTATATTATCCTATTATTTAAAATGCCCCACAGTATAATACATTTATGAATTCATTATTAAAATATAAATTATTAAACTTAATGCTTTTTATGAAGTGTGCAACCAAACTTCAGTAGGATATGAAATGTATATGGTGCAGGAAGTCCTCTGATCGACTTCTACATTTTAGTGCAGTCGTCTGTACTGTGCCAGAACGAGATATCCTCCTTCCCTGACCCTATTAATATGAAGGATTCACTCATTTTGAAGCAACTGTATATTATTATGTACTTACCATTCCACTTTATGCACGGGGCACGTGTAAGTCGTTATAAATATGTCATCGTAGAATATGTAGCGTACTTGTTGTATAAACTCCCATTTTATATTACGAACATTCACTCCATGAGCGCTCGGCGCTTAAACTCAATGTGGCGAAGGTCGTTAACCGCAGTGTTATCAGGCCAAGGTTGGATCAGGGCTCCGACGTTCCCTAAATTGATGGCTGCAGCAAATCTTGTAAACAAATTCTCGGTTGAACAAAGTTTTATGTGGCTGCAACTCTAGGTTGGATAACGGTGGATTGCTGATTTAGCGGCCTCATTCCTCGCCCGCTGGCTGGGCACTTACGTACTGTACATGGCTGAAGGCTAGTGTTTGGAGCGAGGGACGTCATTAAGTTTTATTACTGATTACACGTATTTCTGCGTCTGCCAAATTGTGCTCCTCCGTTAATGTTTAGTCTTGATGGATTAGAAGCTTAGGTCTCTTCTGATTCAGATTTATTTCCGAAACTATAAATCCTTGGACATGTAGGATTTTAGGGATGAAGTCTTAGTCCAGCATTAGTTTAAAATTGGTGCAGAATCAAGATTCGTGACCTGGTCGTTTTGTTCGCCTTGTTTTGGACGGATGAGCGCTGCATTTATGGAGGTTTGACAGTCGCTTCTTTCAATAAAATCTTCTCGGGCAATCAGCCGCGTTAAATGGTTACCGTAATAAACCGACGTTTCGGGAACAAACTCTGTTCCCATCTTTAGGATCCAGTCACATCAGAATCCTGAAGATGGGGACAAAGTTTGTTCCCGAAACGTCGGTTTACTGCGGTAACCATTTAACGCGGCTGATTACCCGAGAAGATTTTATAGATTGTACTCGCCGCGAAAGTCTCAAATCCTATAGCCGCTTCTTTCTTCATCCTTTTCAAGTCATCCTGTTGAGTTACTTTCCGCGTTACAGGTACGGTGAAGAAGTTGCCGCAGGAGAACGGCGCTCCGCGCCGCGGAGAGTGGAGTCACTAGTTGTAAAGCCTGTTCTGTTGGAACGTGATGGTTTGTCCCATCCTTCGTCGTTTCTAATTGTTTCCTTTGTTGTTACAGAGTGAAAACCGGCTCTAAATTTGTGTGACATTATATCTTTGGTGCGGGGAGTGTTATAAAAATGGCGTACGAAGGTGCTGCGCAAGAAATAACAGTGCAATAGCAGAGGAATCGAGAAAACGTAAGTATTTAAAATTCTCTTTAGTTATTGTGGAAATGACTTGTTTTCATTAGGATTGACCAGATGGGTCGGTCTACCCTAACAACATATGAGATAGCATATGTTGAAACCTGAAAAATGTCAGTACTTTCCTAATCGTATGCTGAAATATCGCACCTGACGCTTAAGCTCTCAGTTTGCCAAATATAACATAACGTGAGAGAAATTTCTTCTGTAGTAAGGAGTATTGAGCGAATAAATTTATCTTGCAAGCCATATTTAAACCTAAATGAAACTTCTGAATATAGTATATCTACCGTAAGGATTTTAATTGTATTAGTAGCAATTCTCTGTTGCTGGTATAGTAAGTCGTTTTTCGGAGTTGAAAAGGATGTTAAAATTTAAAGTACCCCCTACGCCTCTATAGTGAGGCAGTGTATTTAAGAAACATTGTGTTCAGTCTCCTCATCCACACACCCTCTGTCTGTTATTCAGCACATTGTGATATGACACAATAGGCTAAGCCCATATGAGACGTCACGTTTGAACTCAACTGGTGTATTAAATACAAAATTAGCCCTCACTGTAGGTTATAAAATCTGCAAGATTAATACGTATTTTTACGGAATCGTAGAATGTGTGTATTAAAACTAATTTTATGTAAATCTGCCTTTTTTTTAACTTGAAACGTGGTGAATAATTTTCAACACGTCGCGTATTTTCGTACGTGATAAAATCTGTGCAATTTTAACGATTTATAGATTATATTGCAATGTAAAAATCCTACAAGGTTTTTTGTGTAATGTAATATTATTTCGTTTTATGAAACATTAATCATAAATGTTTTTAATTTATGTTTACGGTATTTTGGGTGAACTGTAGGCACATAGTATTACAAGTTGGCAGGCCTCAATAAATTGAGTTTAGTTACTCTAAATAAGTGAGTTATCTTTGTTTTTCGGAGGTTTATTAAATGCTAGTAATAAGGATGATGGTTTTAATGATACTTGCGTATAGTTTGAGAAGGACATTTCAGTGATAATGCGAAAGTGATCATCATGAAACTCACTAGGAACCAGGAGTAAATCCGCCAATCCTAAGCTGTCACCATCGAAGTGATAATTCGATATTAGCTGAGTTTTTGATACTCAACCTTACACATATTTCTTTGTAGCTGTACTGACGTGGGTAAAGTATCAAGACATCCCGTGAAAACAGTACAGGAAGGTTCAAATGCTACCCCTTGATACCGCTACGTTGTTTGTCCAAGAAGGTTAAGTCCACAGCCCTGTGGGAGCTTTAGAGAAGGCAAACTACTACGGGGTATACCAGTTCGGTTGAGAGTATCCAAACAAGACTAGAGAACTCAAGAGTGGGGAAGCGATCGGCTAACACGTGTTACAACATTAATAATGGCGTCGTGCGCTTCCTTGTATTAGAAACGTCTTCGTAGAAGCCATAAATAATACAGAATGCAAATGAGAGGTTGAATTGCGTCGGTCAGTTTGAGGCTCTTACGCTATTCGCTTATATTCTGTATCGTATGCAAGATAGTACGGTATTATAGTTGAATGTTTGATCCAAACAAGAGGACGGCCTTGAAACTCTGTGTCCGAGGTCTACATATAGGCAATGCATCTACATTACACTTTTAAAAAGTCAACGGGAGATTGTACTCTCTGCCACATGTTTATTATTGGGGTGATCGAACCAGTAAGAATAAAATGGGCAAGGCATGAAGCACGCATGGAATGGATAAAAAAGCCTATAAATTTTTGTCGCAAAATCAGACGGGAAGATACCACTTCGGAGACCTAGTCGTCGACAGGAGGATAATATTAAAATGGACATTTGATAATCAGGATCTGAGTGTGTGGATTGAATTCAGTTGGTTGAGGACACAGACCTGTATCACATGTTCTTTAACAGGGTAATGGAAATGTTGTTTCTGTAAAACCGGGAAATTAGTGGGGTAGTTGACCGACATCTTACTTTCCTGCAGCTCCAGTTGAATCCTTTTTACTTTTCTTTCCGTGTTACATTTGTTCTCATGTTTGTATTCGAAACAAATATTATTTTTCCTTCATTGCCGTACTTGTATTTTTCTTGAAAATTCTTCATGTCTCGAACCATTGTGTATGTGTGTGTGTATGTGCAAAACGCTCGCATTTGAAAATTATTTTGATGATAACTTTATTATTCATGATGTAATTAAGTCTAACTGCGTATTGTTTAATTATCTGCAAATAAGAATAATTCAGAATGCGATATACGGAACACGTTTATTATGACAATTAACGCGGTATTACAATGTTAAAATCATCGCCCTGATGACGGAGGCAGCATGACCTCTGAAAAGTTGGTAAACATCGACCAGACTACACAGCGCAACAACCCAGAAGACAGAAATCTTCAGTACATATGTCATTTATACATTTTTATTAACATACAGTGTTTGAAGTCCCTGTATTGGACCACATAGTGATCCATTAACTCACAGGCCCTCACTTCCGCCGTATTGATATTCTAGATGGTAAAATAATACAGTAACAGAGGCACAATGTTAATATCACGTGTCACGAAAATGGGTCATTTACTAAATGCAGTATTGAAGTCCACAACTGAGTCACTGAATCATTGGGAGGACGAACACATGATATTCGATAATATAGGTGACATATCAGGTTCTAACGACTGCGAATCTAAAGATAACTGTCTTCTGAGATGTTGCGCCATGTAGTCTGGTAAAAGCTTACCGGCGTTTCAGAGGTACTTAAAAGCTTCATCATTAGGTCGATAAGGCAGTAAGCACCTCTGAAAAGCCGGTCACCTTCTACGAGATATAAGGCGCAATGCCCCAAAAGACAGTCTGATCATAAAATTTTAGAACGGCTTCTAAGTCGCCACTGCATGGCGAGTATAACCGAATACGGCTGTCAGTCAACGATGCCAGTACAAGGTTTTGCTCTTTTGTGCTTCTGGGGCATGAAGAAGTCAGAGGACCCACATAGACCATATAAATCCATCAGAGTGATTGAGTGACATTCTTACCATCAGGTCTCTCGTTCATTTCTTTCAACATAAAAAATCAATGTTTAATACAAATCCCTACTTTCCTCGTTCATTCAATATGCATGCACCATGTTTCGTTATTTCATGAAAAGACTACGCTGAAATCTTTTAAAACTCGTCCTCCTCCTGTGTGAATCGATGTAAAATTCCCTCGAAATCGAAAATCCATCGATTGATCTGCCGCATATTATTCTTCTTCAACCCAACTGAACGGTATTTACTGCTCGGCTTGACTTTCTTTCCTTTTCTTATAAATTCTGTTGTCGTCTCTTTGTCGTCTACTTGCATAAAAAGTTTAAGTGCGCTGTGAGAAAGTGATAATTTGAATCTCGAAGTAATCGGCACTGGAAAAGATTAACAGATAAAAAAAGGTCGCATTTTCTTGTAATTAAACAATTAAAACTTTTCGATTTCTCGGAACTCAGTTTAGTTGCCACTTTTGCAAAACAAAGAGTTACAGGGCCTAGAGGACAAATGAAGACGCATGAACTGGTTAAGGAGCCATCCATAAGTGCGTAAGAGGTTTGCCGGGCCAGATGAAAGTAACCAGACAAGATGTCGATGTGATTTGAGGTTCTCACTGGGACGAGAATGAAAGTGGCTGTCTTCTAGGGGTGTTGCGCCGTTTGATCTGGTATATATTGACAGAATATTTATAGGATCTTACTGCCTCCATCATCAGGGCGTTCGCCCTGATGATGGAGACAGCAAGGGCCTTTGAAACGTCGGTTAACTTCTACCAGACTACATGGCACAACAACCCAGAAGGCAGCCATCTTCAGACTCACCGCCATGAAAACATCAGATCCTACTTATTTGATATCATTCCATTAATTTATTTTGAATTGCTACGTCAAAAGCGTGGTTTTTAAATTTGTTATCTAAACTTACATTTTCACTTATAATCATCAGAAGGAAATGCTCTTGAAACAGCATTTATGGAGACTAATTAAGTAATTAATTATTTTGATATAAAATGCCTCTGTATTCGTTTGTCACCGTTTATGCTTACTTTTACGGTTCTACACACGATAAGTACGATAACACCGTCTTACACTTCCTGACTTCGCTGCTGGATAATCCGAGGCTATTTTATATCAGTCTTTATCAATTCTGAACAGCAGTACTGACCGTCATCTGTGTTAAATTTACATCTAAGCAATAGGACGTTAAATTAATTATTTCGTAACGTAAGCGTTCATTACAGCTAACTGTTTGAAGACTGTTTAAAAACAACTATTTTGATACTACAGCTTCGTACTGCTTCCATGCTTTAGTAAAATTAATCAGCGGTTACAGATTGGTAATCTATATATTATATCAGGCCACACATGTGAAACAGGGTGGAAATTATGGCAGATGGACATTTCAAATTTGTCCCTGAACATGTTTATATTTCGATTTGTATGTCATTTCTAACTGTAAAGCTGCTGTATCCGGATTGTGTTAATAAACGAGAACCTATGGTGTGAGGTTCAGTGATGCTGCTGGAATTGGCTGGCTAATCACGTGATGGAGACGGATCATTTGTCACTGTGCGGTCCATCAATTCAGCACTAGAAACGGGGATGCTGTCGGTATGGGAGACGTTTCGAAAACTGCTTGAAGGCTAAAGTTACGATCAGCCAGCTGTCACCTGAGAACAGAAGCATTGCTGTTTCGCCTTTCCCCCAAGCTAAACTGATTACCAAGACTTTTCCACAACACTCCTCTACAGGCGATTAAATAACTTAGCCATATTAAATATGTTCAAGAGCTCAAACCAACAAATATTTTGTAATGTGAGATGTTTTCTGCACTGATAATTCTTGACCATGACAGTGTCGTTTCATTATCAGGTGAAATAGTGGTTAATGTCTCCCTGTGTCAGGTGTAGGTCATCAAGGTTGATTTGTTAAGGTCATTCGAGGCTCACGACAAGTTCATAACATGGCCAACCCATGGCCACT